CAGCCGACTGTTCTCGTCTTTTTCCCCGTGCCTTTATAACTTCACTCCCGCGTACGATTCTTACACGAAAGCGCGCGCCCTACCGCATTTCTGGCTCTTCTTACTACCACAACTCCACTTCCGCGTACGCTTCTGACGCAAAAGCGAACACCCTACCGCATGTCGTGCCATCCTTCGGAATCCATAGGAGTACTCAGGAATGCGCGTTCTCACTAGCCGACCTCCTACGGTGGGGACGTTCGCTGCCGAGGATGCTGCAAACCCTGGAGGATACATGGCCGATTCACAATCGGATTTTCACCGGCCTCCAGACCCTGGAAATTTGATTTAAGGGTTCCTGTGTCCAATGCCCCCACCGTACTTCTCGACCCACTTCTCCACCTCTGCTGCTACCTTTGCTGGGGTAGTTGAATCGAGACGTTGGAGGTCTAGAACAAAGACCAGATGATGTGCGCCGCAGACGCCGCGACATCAAGCCTCCAGAGGACACTCAAACTTGCTGACTTTGCGCCCACTTGTCCCCCCAAGGGTCCACTGCGCGACCTGGGGATGCATTTGGGACCGCTGGACCACGGCAGCGCGGTTCCAGCGCCGCCACCCGAGCAGGTGCTTGCGCTGCAGGGTGGAGGGAAGCGAGGACAGCATCAAGCACTACAGCCGATGCCGAGTGGTGCGGAGGCTGATGGGGACCAGACTCCGTCTCAGCGCTCAAGTCTTCTCCGGCTTGCATGCGGGGACGCTCTGTTCGTCGGCGCTGGAGTCCGAAGAGGACATGGCCCGCTTGGCCCTGGGCTTCTGCACCGTCTGCTCGCTCACGCACGCGCTGCGGTACGCCGGCCGGTCGGAGCTCTCCAGACGGAGGAAGAGACGCATGCCAGGCCTTGGCGCAGGCCGTCAAGGAGGGCGTCATGGGCCACCCGCGCGCGGCCGTGATCCTGCGGCAGCGCTGGACAGCGGATGCTCCGCGGACCGCCGTCCGGCTTTGACGAGTCGGCACAGTTCGCGCCTGCCGTCCCCACCGGTGGCTACAGGACCGCCGCAGACGCCAAATGCGACCGACACGTGGGTGAGCCAGGGCCGCTTCGCTTCTCCTCGTGGTACAGTCAGTCCGCATAGTAAGGATGGGCAACCTTCCAAGGGCACCCTTGCATCCTTGCCTCCTCGGTCTATATTTGGCCGCTTCGGCTGGCCAACCTCGTTCGAAAAACGTTCACGTGGCACTCCATGGCCCTTGCATCCTTACCGCGCATCCTTATTATACGGGTTGACTGTATTGTTTGGCGCCCTCCCTCCTGCTACCCCCCTCCCCGCCTGCTCCTCGCGCTCCCCAGGTGCCCCCGCCGAGGCACCGCGAAGTTCGGTGGCCAGGCTGGCGCGGCTCGCCGCGCGCCGCGAAGGAGGCGGCCTGTTGCAGCAGACGATCGCGCGCGTCGACTTTCTCCCGCCGTCACTGTCGCTCCTCCTCCATCCTGGCTGTCTTTACTCTGCTCGTAGTTAGTTGAATTCCCGGCAGCACCGGCGGCCAAAAAAAGGGGCCACGCTTTGTTGCGGCGTGCTCGGGCTCTTACCGCACGGGCATGGCCAGAGAACACGCCCGGGCTTGACTAATTCATCTTCTGGCGCGCCTGCTCCGTCATGCTCAGGCGGAGCAGATTGGGAGGACAAATCTTGCCCCCTCGCGCGATGTGCACTGTCGTACTAGGTCAGAGCCGCCATCGGGTCTCCCTTCCTTCCTTTCCCCCGGCTGCTGCAGTCGGTCCCGCCGTCGTCGTCCTTCGCCTCTCCCCTCCCTTCCCTTCCTTCCGTGTCCAGGCCGCCCGGCACGGAGCGCCACCGCGCCCCTCCTCCCTTCCTCTGCCCTTCCTCCTCCTCCTCCTCCTTTTCCTTCTCGTCGTCGTCGTCTCGTTCCTCCTCCTCCTCCTCCTTTCCCTTCTCGTCGTCGTCGTCTGTCGCCACTGTGCTCCCCTCTCCCCTCTCTGACTCCTTCGCGGGGTCCCGGGACCGAGAGATGGCGCATGTGGTCGGCAAGCCCACCGACGCGAACCACCCGCCACGCGGATGGCGGACAGCTGCAGGTGCTGCTGGCGCTGGACCTTCTCTGGTGGAAGCGTTTCGCCTGGAGGGCTAGAATTTTCGACGACTGCAAGTTGCAGATGTTATTGCAGACACGTTGCTCCAGCCATTGCACTCTCACGCGCCGTTCGAGTTCCCGTGGAACCGATGGACGGGACTTGGTGAGACAGTGGCCCACCACGGGGTTCCCTCTTGCATCCACGGCTTGCACATGCACTACTGTACTCCCTCCAGTTTCGGCATGGCGTGGGCGAAGCACTGTAGCCACATCCACCGCCCGCCGAGGTCCCCGGAGGTCGACTCCCAGCGGTGGCTGCGCGGGCATCACCAAAGGGTATTTTTGAGTCGGGCCTGTCCCTCTACAGGGGGAACAGTCACAGATGGCCAAAAACAGTCTAGGGACTACTCCTTGAATACCTCTTGGCCATTTGGGAGCATTTCTTGGGGGTATCTTTATTTTTCCGCCGGAAATCCCCCCTGTAGGGGGACACGCCCGACTTAACCCAAGGGTACTTCTGGATCGTGTCCGTCGGCCCCCGTAGGGCGACACGCGCGCTCAGGAGCCTATGCGTGTGCGTGCGCGGCGGCGGGCGCCTGCCGCCCGGCAGCGGCACTCTGCGCTGTGAAGGCGCCCTGTCATCATTGCCCTTTCGGTTGGGACGTGCGCCTCTCCGAGGGCAGCGCACACAGTGCACTGGCATTCGGGGGGGGGGGACAGAGACCCCCCCGCTGACACGTCGATTGGTGAATTGTCCGTCTGCGGCTCTCGAGGTGGCGCCGCGGTCGTCATTTTCCAGGCTTGCGCCCGCCAGGTTTGGGCCCGAGGTCGTTTTCACTAAACCACGTCTTGCTAAAGGGGGTTTTGTCCATCCCCGAGGTATGTCGGCATGTCATTCTGCACCCCATTGTGGATGCATCCCCGCCTCGCACAGCTAACACCATCTGCTGCCAACAAGGGTCCGCTTCGATCCGACTCGATATCGGCTCCAGCTGGCCCGATCCGATTCGATTCCCCACTTTTTCCAATACAATCTCAAGGCCGATGCATGCAAACCCTGCCCGAGGAACTACCTGCGGGAGCGACTGTGTTGTCGCCGGTCTAGGGGCCTAGCGACTGTGTTGTCGCCGGTCTAGGGGTCCAGCTGGCCCGATCCGATTCGATTATGATTTTCGGGCGATCCGATGCGGCCCGATGTTTGCATGGCGCTGTTGTGCACCCTGGCGAGGCCGACTCGATGCACGGTCGGATCCGCTCCGACTGCGAAGGCCTCACGGCCCGTGCCGCAGACCCTGAAGGGGGACGACGACGACGACGACGACAACGACGACGACGAGGACGAGGACGACGACGACGACGGACGACGAGGACGACGGACGACGAACGAAAACTGACGACCGACGACGGACGACGACGACGACGACGACGACGACGACGACGTCGAACGACCATTGACGAACGGCAACAACGAACAACGACGACGACGACGAACGAGGACGACGATTGACGACGAACGACGACGACGACGAACGGCGACGAACATCGAACGGCGACGAACATCGAACGACGAACGACGACGACGACGACGACGACGACGACGACGACGTCCGACGACGCACGACAAACGACGATGACGAACGATGAACAACGACGACTGCGACGACGAAGGACGACGACGACGACGACGACGACGACGACGACGACGACGACGACGACGACGACGACGACGACGACGACGATTACGACGACGAACGACGAACGACGAACGACGAACGACGGCGACGACGACGAACAATGACGACGACGACGACGACGACGACGACGACGACGATGACGACGACGACGACGACGAACGGCGAACGACGACGACGACGACGACGAACGACGCACGACGAACTACGAACGACGAACGACGACGACAACATAGCCCCCGTGACTCATCCCTCAACCCCCCAACCCCCCGGCCGGATTTCTTTTCTTCTTTCCGCGGGGGGTCAACCTTCGCGGCGACCCGTTAAACCCGGGACCCCTGGCGGCGCATGGATTTCTTTCCTTCTTCCCCGCGCGCGTTGCCGTTGGAACCCCTGAACCCCTCCGACTACCGTACAACTCGTACTTGAGTACAACTGGTACTATCATGTCCTATCGCGCAGTTGTTCCTAGAGAGCACGTTGTCCTGCCGTGCAAATATTCGAGTGCAGCTGGTATCAGATTACAGCTGGTAAAATTGTGCCCCCTAGAACAACGCCCTATCGCCAATCCCCAGTACTAGTACAACTCCATGGTACAACTCCCGAGCACAACTCCCCCGTACAACTCCCCGGTTTAAGTGGTACTATAACAACTCTCTGATCCAAGTTCCGAGTGCTAGTACAACTCCCTCGTACAAGTCCTCGTACAGTCTCGGCTCTCACGTTTTTTTTCCTCTGGTTGCGCTTGGGGGGGTGGGACCCCTCGCGCGGGCACCCCCGCGGCTGGGAGTTCATTCCTCTTCCGGAATTTGAGGGGGGGGGTAACCCCCGTGCTCGAAACCCATCGCCAGGGTTTTTTTCTTTCCTCCGCGGAAGCCGGACCCCCTGGGTTCTTCGGCGCGCCCCATTTTTGTTTTTCTTTCCGGTTGGGCCTCCATGGGTCTTAGGTTGGAGTCACCCGGGTGATACGACAACGACAACGAACGACGAACGACGAACGATGACGACGACGACGACGACGACGGCGACGACGACGTCGCTCGGGGCCATCTTCGGGGTGCTCTCTGAGCCACTTGCGTGCCATTTGGGGGGCTTCCTGGGTGCCGAGGGGGAGAGGGAGTGGGCAGCGACGACGACGACGACGACGACGTTGACGACGACGATGCGCGCTCCGATCCAGTCCGATGTCCCCACTCGACGCCGGCTATTCCTGCCGACGCTGGCAGGACCTGAGGGCACCGCTGGGCCCCTCGCCGCCAGGGTGCCCAGCGACGCAGCCGCCGCCGAGGCCGCCGGAGCCGGCCGACGCCTCGGCGGGTGGCGCCGTGGACGGGGACGCGCTGCACGCCATCTGGGCAGCCGCGCGAGGGCCCAGGGTGCCCCCACAAGCGGCCCAAGGAAGGCCTCGAGGTGTTGTAAGCATGTCAGCGATCTGTGTGCAACGTGCACAGTAGTCGCGCCCCTTCTTATTGTCGGTGAAGCTTTCGCACAAGCATTTTTCCGACTGTCCAACTTCGTGTTTGACATGCCGAGTGCAAATCAGACCTCTGATGGGGTGGGCATTTGCCAGAACAGAAAAAAAAAGGAAGGCCTCGAGGTGGCCCGGCATGGCCTGAAGACGGCGCCGACGGGCCAAGGCCCCAAGACTTTCCAAGATGGCCTCGAGATGGCCCCAGAGGACCCCAAGACTGCGCATGAGATCTCCAAAACAATACGTTTCAGGGCCCCTGGTCGGCCCAGATGGTCCCGCAAGCCGAACTGCGAACGCGCTGGACTGCCCAGGTACCCCCCAAGACGGCCCGAGGGGCCCCCCGAGAGAGGCCCAGGAGGCTCCAGAGATGGCCCTGAGAAGGAAGCGGTGCCGATACCACTCGGGGAGCAGTTCATATCACAAGCACGAGCTGTCGGAGGTCCACGAGATCAGCGCGGACCTCCGAAAGCTCATGTTTCTGCCAGCTCGTCTTCAACGAGCCTGAGATTTGGAAGCAGTGCGCCAGTACCGCTGCTCGTTCGTCGTCTTCAGGCTGTCTGGGGGCCCTCGTCGCCACGGCCGGCTCCGCATCGAGCTTGTGGCCAGAACCCTAGCATCGCTCGGACGTGTGCCCATCGAGGAGCATCTCGGGTCCTCCTGCGAGCAAAAAGCACGCACGAAGTTCCGAAAACGGCACGGGGAGTGGACGTCCGAGCGAGGGCGAGGAACGCACCCAGCCCCGGGGCAGGCTTTTCGCCCCCGCCCCCGGTGTCTTTAAACGCTGCCAGGGCCCGATGACGGCTCCCAGAGGCCGAGGCCGAAGAACAGTTGTTAGGATTGGAGCAACACCGTCGGACCAGGGTATAGCATCGAGGCTGGTTCGGGGAGGGTGCCCTGGTGTTCTTCGTGCTTGTTGGATGTTCTTTTGCTCCTGGGCCCCCAAGCGGTGCGGTGACCACACCGTGCGGTGAGCCAGTGGGGGTTCGGGGTCACCGCACGGTTTTGGGACTCGGGTCGTTCTCCGAAGACGTCTCGGGCGACAGGGGCATCCGAGGTCCCAAGACCGCGCGGTGACGGACCGTGCGGTGAGGTCTTGGGGGATTTCGAGGTCACCGCACGGTGCGTCACCGCACCGTTTCGGGACTCCAAATTTCCAGCCCGGGGAGGGTACACTTGGATGTCCTGTGTTTTGACCGGCGGAGCTCTCGTGTTCTTGAGGGGTGATCCTCTGTCCCAGGTTTGACTGTAGTACGCGTCTTGGGATCTTGGCGCGATGCCTCCCCAGAGCGCCGACGCCCTAAGCGGCATCGGGGCTGCGGTTTTGCTCGCCGCTTCTCTTCGGCTTCCGAGGGGAGTCACCTCTGGGACTGCAGGGCCGCCGAGACCAACGATTGGCGCTTTGTCCTTGAGCAGCGGTCGGGGCCTTCTGGGGGCCCCGTATCGAAAAGATCGGGGTCCCCCGCTTCGCGTCTTGACCATACTCACGGCGCAGGCTGCTTTTTTCCAGTTCGCGGCCCGCCGGGCCCTCACCGGGCCCCCAGACCAGCAAGAGGCGACTCGGGAGGAAGAGGCGGTCCGGGGGAAGGTGCCGAGACATCTGGGCAGAACGGCACTGTAAATGCTTTCAGTCAGCGAACGCGACCGACCAAAACGGACACGGAACACGGAATCCTGGAGGGGGAAATCTGATTATACCTTCCGTTTTTTGTTTTCCGGTTTCCGTTTTCGATTTCCGTTTGGGGGTTCTTGGTTTTTGGTTTCCGTTTCCATTTTTTTGTTTCCGTTTTCCGTTTGGGGGTTTTGGTTTTCCGTTTTCCGGTGTTTGTTTTCCCGATGTTTGGTGTTTGGTTTGCGTTTATTGTTTTCCAGTTTCCGTTTTCCGCTTGTTTGTTTTATGTTCTTTGATTTCCGTTTTCCGGTATTCGTTTGCATGTTGTTATTTGTTTTGTTAATATTGTCCAGTTTTCCGGGTTCCGTTTTCCAATTTCGGTGTTCCGTTTCACGGTTTCCAGTATCCGATTTTGGGATGTTGTTTTCGATTTTTTTTCCCCGTTGTTTGGTGTTTGTTTTCCGTTTTCCGGTGCGCGTTTTCCAAGTTCCGGTTTCCAGTTTCGTTTTCCGTTTTTGTTTGGGGGGGTCTTGTTGATCTAATGTTTCCAGCTTCCGTTTTCCATTGTTTACAATATTTTTTCAATGTTCCGTATTCCAGTGTCCGCGCTTTTCCGCCAAATGTCAGTTTTGTTGGTTTCTGTTTTCTTTTTAGTTGTCCGGTCTTTGTTTCATGTTTTCCGGGTTCAGTTTCCAACTATTCCCAACCATCCTGTGGTGTTGGGTCCTCGTTTTGAAGAGACGGTGCCCCGCGTTCCTGCTCCCGCTGCCCCCTCCCCCCTCCTCCCATCATCATCACCATCCTCATCATGTTCATCATCATGAGTATCGTCATCATCATCATCATCCACCTCGTGGTTGTCGGTCATCATCATCACCATCATCCTCATCATCATCATCATCATCATCATCATCATCATCATCATCATCATCGGCACACCCCTCACACGTTTCGTGGCCCCATAGGGAGCTCCACCGAAGGCCCAAATGGCTGCGTCCGCATGCCGCCGCCACCCAATTTTGGCACACCCCTCACACGTTTCGTGGCCCCATAGGGAGCTCCACCGAAGGCCCAAATGGCTGCGTCCGCATGCCGCCGCCACCCAATTTTGGCACACCCCTCACACGTTTCGTGGCCCCATAGGGAGCTCCATCTAAGGCCCAAATGGCTGCGTCCGCATGCCGCCGCCACCCAATTTTGGCACACCCCTCACACGTTTCGTGGCCCCATGGGGAGCTCCACCGAAGGCCCAAATGGCTGCGTCCGCATGCCGCCGCCGCCCAATTTTGGCACACCCCTCACACGTTTCGTGGCCCCATAGGGAGCTCCATCTAAGGCCCAAATGGCTGCGTCCGCATGCCGCCGCCACCCCATTTTGGCACACCCCTTACACGTTTCGTGGCCCCATGGGGAGCTCCACCGAAGGCCCAAATGGCTGCGTCCGCATGCCGCCGCCGCCCAATTTTGGCACACCCCTCACACGTTTCGTGGCCCCATAGGGAGCTCCATCTAAGGCCCAAATGGCTGCGTCCGCATGCCGCCGCCACCCCTGGCACACCCCTTACACGCTTCGTGGCCCCATAGGGAGCTCCACCGAAGGCCCAATGGCTGCGTCCGCATGCCGCCGCCGCCCAATTTTGGCACACCCCTCACACGCTTCGTGGCCCCATAGGGAGCTCCATCTAAGGCCCAAATGGCTGCGTCCGCATGCCGCCGCCACCCCATATTTAGCACACCCCTTACACGTTTCGTGGCGCCATGGGGAGCTCCACCGAAGGCCCAAATGGCTGCGGCCCAGGCGTGATCCTGGACTGCGGCCGCCACGAGGTGCGGAACGGCAAGAAGGAGGACGACGACTGGTGGCTGGAGCTCTACGTGCTGCTCTCGCGCGCCACGCGCCACGAGGATCTCCTGCTCATGCGGGCGCCGCTCATCGATTTCTTCCTGGCAGGGCCGCCGGAGGGCTTGCGGAAGCAGCTGGAGCAGTTTGCAGCGCGCACGAAGCGGCGCAGGAGGGAGGCGACGGCCCTCGCCAGAGAGCTGGGCTTCAGCGAGTTCATCCGCGAGGCCTGACCTGGGGGGCGGCCCCGCACGAGCCAGCGGCGCGCGCTGGTTGTCGCTGACGCTTGGATGACCCCAGCTCGTCGTCGGGATTTCTCGCCAGAGGATGACCGGCGCCTGTCGGGGGATTTCACCCAGATCGCGCCATTTTCGCGCGCCTCGCCACGCAGTACGGGGGGCTATCCGTTGACTCAGAGTCGCAGTGGACAACCCCCGCGCGTCGATGGGATTCCCTCGGGATGACCAGACCGCGTCGGCGAGGACTTCCCATGCACTTTCGCGCGGCGCCGCCTGCGCGCTGCATTCTGCGTGGCTCGCTGTCGGTCTGGAGGCAAAAACGCCCCCCCTCGTCTCTCGCCCCTCCTGCTTCCCATCGCTTCTTGACCGCGCGCTTCCCCGTCTCGTTTCTGCCGCTGCTGACCTGCCTTCGACATCTACACGGCGTCTCCGTCACCTCTTCCTGCGTGCCCAGTAACAGGTCTCAGGATGCGATGATGATGCTGATGTGTTGGCTCGCCCCAGTGAGCTCTCCTCCTCCGCCCGCCACCTCCTGCCCGCGCTGCCCTGTGCCTCGTCCATGCAGTGGCGCGGTGCCTATGAGAAGAGGGGCCTAGTTTGCGTGCCCCCTCCTTCGTTTCATATCCGCGCGGTACTCGCAGCTGCATATGGTTGGGTCCTTCGCCAGGCTAATTGTTTTTATTGCCCGTTGTTTGGTTGTTGTTGATTGTTTCTCTTGTGTCCGTTTCGGGTTGTTGTTTATTGGTGTTTGTTGTACGTTTTCCAGTTTGCGTTTGTGTTTGTTGGGTTTTCGTGTTTCGGTGTGTTGCGTTCTCTTTTGTGGCTTCTGTTTTGGCGGTATATGACTTCCACAAACGTAGTCTGCACTACATCGATTGCATCACTTAGTATGCGCTAACGGCGCCTGCGCGCAGCGTGGCATGGCGCCGCGTTGTTTTACATGGCTTTGCGTGGCTTGCATTGCTCTGCATTGCCTTGCGTTGCATTGCGCTGCGTTGCTTTGCATCGCATTGCCTTGCATTCCACTGCACTGGGTAGCGTCGTTTCGCTTTGCGCAACTCTGCACTGATTCGGCTGCTTCGGGGCTGTCCTCGGCGTTTCCTGGGCCCCCCGTCCGGGCCCTCTGGGCTACCGCTGCAGGGCTCCTTGTGTCCTCTCCTGAGGCCTCCGTGGGCTTGTGGGTGGTGGCCCACCCA